ACTATGAGGAAAAATTGAGTGTGGTAAGGAGAAAAAAGAGCAGGCAATCTCTTGACGGCGCCTCTGAGATTCTCCGGGAATTAGAAGCGAGGTTGGTGGCTGCTGACGGAGACGTTCACGAGATCCCCGGCCAAATGGACCAAATTTTGTGGCTTGGGTTTCTGGGGTGGAGTTATGAAGCACGTCTCTGGCACTCCCTCACCTCACTCCCTCCCTCACTCACCCCCTCCCTCTTCTCCTCACGCACTCATTCTCTCCCTCACTCCCTCCCTCAACCACCTCCTCACTCACTCACTCATCTCCTTACTCCCTCACTTCCTGACTCCTTCCCTCACCTCCTCACTCACTCATCTCCTCCCTTCCTCACTCCCTTACCCCCTCACTCCCTTACCCCCTCGCTCCCTAATACTTTTCCCACCCTGGGAGAAACAAGCATAAACATCCACACAGTCTGTAATTTATTGCTTCTCCTGGGATAAAAATTAACTGGCCTTTTTTTAACCCAGGATGAATTACAATATGGGCCAGACGATATAAGCATCCTGCAGTTACTATCGTCCTGGGAATAAAATAACCCTTCTTTCTTTTTCTTTTTTTAACCTAAGATGAACAACAATACGGTCACACAACGTATAAAAGCCTGCAGTAATTGTTTCCCCGGGGATAAAATATACCAGGTTTTTTTTTTACTTGCATGCACAACCTGTAGTTATTGTTTCCCCTGGCATAAAAACACAACGTTTCTTTCATCTAAGGAAGGAAGGAAGGAAGGAAGGAAGGGAGGAAGGAAGGAAGGAAGGAAGGAAGGAAGGAAGGAAGGAAGATAATGTATAAGCTGCCCCTGGACCATCAGCTCTCTCTCACTCTCTCAAGTTCCTTCCCTCACCTCAGTTTCTCATCATTGTTGTTGTTATTTATTATTATTATTATCATCCATTATATGACACAAGCACCCTACCGTCCTCGTCTGCACGTACTTACAAACAGTATCCCTCGAGGCACACTGAGAGACTTTATGTAGTACATCTCTTAACACTGTCGGGTGTACTGTAAGTTAATCACCCCACAGCACCAACCATAACAATAGCTACAAATTACGCTCTTGTCTTTTGTATGCGCGGTTTCCTCTCCCCCTCCCTCACTCCATTATCTACATACCCTCCCTCCCTCCCTGCCTCCATTACCTACCTATTCTCCCTCTCTAATATAACTTAACCTCCCTCCCTGCCTCCATTACCTACCTATTCTCCCTCTCTAATATAACTTAACCTCCCTTCCTCTATACTCCAGTTACTCTCCCTCCCTCTCCTTCCCTCATCACTCATCCTCCCTTTCTCCCTCCCTCCCTTCCCTCATCCTCCCTTTCTCCCTCCCTCCCTACCCTCCCCCTATCACCCACCCCCACAAAGGTCGTGGGGGAGGGACGCCCTTTTGGCTTCTGCTTACGAGTTTAACTTACTGCCGGAGTGTTGTGGGTAAGGTGGTGGTGGGTGGTGACAATGGGTGGGTGAGGTGGTGGTGGGTGGGTGTTGTTTTAAGGGTAGGTGGGGTGTGTAACAGGGTGGGCAGGTGGTGGTTGGTGGGGTGAGCAGAGTGGGTGGGTGGTGACAATGGGTGGAGTGGGGTGCAGGTGACAGGAGGTGGAGTGAGTGGTGGTGGGTGGTGTTGACAAAGGGGTGGGTGGTGGTGGATGGTACCAAGGTGGGCAGGTGGTGATGGTGGTGGTAGATGATCTGATCTGGTGGGCGGCAGTAGAGGCGTGGCGGTGTGGCATATGCAGCCCACGCCTGCCACATCATTAGGGGTCGTGAGGCGACTTTCTGTGGTAAAAGCGCAGAGAGAGAGAGAGCACACACCTAACCTAACCTTACCTTTACAATTCGATATATCAGTATTTACCTTTCCTACATCAGGGTGTTGTGGGCCGTGTAGGGGGATCATAACCACCTTGTTTATCTGAGCTTACCTGCTGGTGGTGAGGGGTGAGGGGTGGGGGCTCTATCACAACAAGGGGTAAGGCTCTGGTTATTTTCTCTCTTATACTGTGTGTTCTCTCTCTCTCTCTCTCTCTCTGTCTCTCCTTCACAGTATTGGCACTCACCTAACCTAACCTAACCTCTCACTCCAACAACAACAACAACAAAAAATCAAATTACAGACAAGAAAAAATAAATCCCTTTTAGCTTCGTATCACATTTCCCGGCAGGTAACAACTCGTCATTTGGTGTGTAAATGCCTGAGAGAGAGAGACCAGTATGCTGAGGCTTACAACAAATTAACAATGATGCCACACAATTTGCATTTTTTTCTATGTTAATATTCGTGGGAGTTTGTGTTATCGCTGAGTCTCCTTTACCCAGTTATTACTTATGGAAATTATGATCTGACCTTAACCATGACCCCTGACCTAAACCATGACCATTGACCTTAACCATAACCTCTGACCTTTACCATGACTCTTGACCTTAACCATGACCCCTGACCTTGACCATTGACCTTACCCATGACACCTAACCTTAACCATGACCCCTGACCTTAACCATGACCCCTTGACCTTAATCATGACCCAGAGAAGAATTCGGTGCCTGAACACTGGTCAATGGAGAATGCACGCTTACACTCACAGCTATTACAACACACACACACACACACACACACCCAAACACAACCCACAAACAACCAAAACCCCACACCCACACACCACCACAACAAAAAACCCAACACCAACACACACACACACACACACACACAACACACACACACACACACACACACACACACACACAACAACACACACACACACACACACACACACACAGGGTAACTGTAAAATAATGTAAATGAAATACTGTGTAACATTCAGTGCCATAATATCCTGACAACGGGGGTTAATTATTATGACCCTTTGTAAACCCTACTTTGTAATCCTTTTGCGCTACCGCTCACAGGATGAGTGTGGGGTGCACAATAGTAGCTGCTGTAAACGGCAAAAATAAAAAAATCAATCACACACGAAGTTAGTGTCTGTTTATTTACATATTTTATTCACATTGATTAACTTTAAGGCGACTCTAAGCTCCGACAATATGATGAGATTTAAAATTAGGCCACGTGAGGTTACCTGCTTGTTGGGGTCAGGGGTCAAGGTGCTATAGTGCATTGGTTGTAACACTTAAGAACATAAGAAGAAGAACATAAGAAAATAAGGAGTCTGCAATAGGCCGGTTGGCCTGTGCATGACAGCTCCTGTCGAGAGTTACTACCACTCTCTATCATCCATGAATCTATCTAGCCTCCTTTTTGAACTTTCAAGCGTTCCGCACTTACTACAAACTTGCTAAGCTTGTTCCACGTCCACCACCCTATTTGTAGAACCAGTTCCTTCCTACCTCCCTCCTAAACCTAAACTTATCCAACTTAAATCCGTTGCTCGAGTCCTATCCTGCTCGGATATTATAAGAACTTTATCTGTATTCCCTTTATTGATTCCTTTCACCCACTTAAATACTTCTATCATATCTCCCGCACTCTTCGTCTTTTTAGGAATGCAAGTTTAGTTTTTAACCTATCTTCATATGGAAGGTTTCTAAGTCCCGAATCATTTTCGTCATTCTTCGCTGCACCGACTCTAGTGAATTTATATCCATTCTATAATAAGGGCACCAGAACTGAACCGCATAATCGAGGTGCGGCCTGACTAGCGCAAGATATAGGCAATATGACCTCCGCACTTCTATTACTTACACTTCTAGATATAAAACCCAATACTCTGTTTGCTTTATTTCGAACATTAACGCACTGATTTCTGGCTGTAGGTCCGGCTATGTATCCCTAAGTCTGTTTCACAAGTCGACTTTCTAGGTTGATGTTGTTAAGGCTGTATACATTGACAGTATTTGCTCTTCCAATATTAAGTACGCTGCACTGGCTGGTGTTGAATTTCATTTGCAATTTTTCTGACCACTTCTGTAATTTATTTAAATCCTCCTGTAGTGCATTTGCATCCTGCCCTGAATTAATCTGCCGCCCTATTTTGGTGTCATCCGCAAACTTGCTTATGTCACTGCTGATCCCAGTATTCAGATCGTTTATGTAGATTATGAACAAGAGGCCCAGTACTGACCCCTGGGGAACCCCACTGGTTACACAGCCCCACTCCAGATTTAACACCATCTTCGCTGCTCCTCTGCGTTCTATCGGTGAGCCACGATTTTATTCAATTTAAAACTTCTCGATACCATGAACCTTAACTTTTCTCAGAAGCCTCTGATGCGGTACTCTGTCAAACGCTTTGCTTAAGTCTAAGTAAATAACATCGTAATTTTCGTCATTATCTACTACCTCGAAGACTTTCCTAAGAAACGTCAGCAGATTTTTTAAACAAGATTTTCCCTTTGTAAATCCATGTTGAGAGTCGTAGATTAATTTGTTTTTTCAATGCGATCGGATGCTATTTGCTATAATTGATTCAAGAAATTTCCCCACTACTGACGTCAAACTGATCGGCCGGTAATTTGACGCTGATGCTCTGTCTCCCTTTTTGAATATGGGTATTTCAGGTTACCTGTAGTTTATTACTTAATTACTTGGAGGCTGTGTGTGTGAAAGAGAGAGGGGGAGGGGAGCCTGGTTCTATGAAGTTTGGGAGAAGAGTGAGAGAAAAGAGGTAGGAGAGGTGTGGTGGGGAGGGCAGGTGTGGTGGTGAGGGCAATAGAGGTGAGGCAAGGTGTGACGGAGGTGGAGGTAGAGGCAAGTACGGTGGAGGACAGGTGTGGTAGGGGTGGTGAGAGCAGGTGTGGTGGTGAGGGCAGGTGTGGTGGTGAGGGCAGGTGCGGTGAAGGACAGGTGCGGTGGAGGACAGGTGTGGTAGTGGTGGTGAGAGCAGGTGTGGTGGTGAGGGCAGGTGTGGTGGTGAAGGCAGGTGTGGTGCTCATCAGGCGGTGGTGCCGTGCAGGTGTCGTGACAGCAGCAGGAACAACAAAAATTAGTCATGTATTTACCTGTATGGTTGTGAAGTCGTCTCCGCCACTCACCTGAAACACAAACACCTGTATTAATTAACATGGTCCACATAAACACCTGTATTAATTAACATGGTCCACATAAACACCTGAATTAATTAACATGATCCAAACACACACCTGTTTTAATTAACATGATCCACACAAACACCTGTATTAACATGATACACACAAACACCTGTATTAATTAACATGATCCACACACAAACACCTGTATTAATTGACATGATCCACACACAAACACCTGTATTAATCAACATGATCCACACAAACACCTGTATTAACATGATCCACACACAAACACCTGTATTAATCAACATGATCCACACAAACACCTGTATTAATCAACATGATCCACACAAACACCTGTATTAATTAACATGCAGTCCACCCGCTTACCTGTGATAATTAACATAGTCCACACACACAACACTAATTGTAAAAGTCCACACAAACACCTGTATTAGTAACGCAGTCCTGGCTTTCTGCATATTTACACAAACATTAATTAACACAGTCACACAACACCTGTGTTAACACCCAGTCCACACACACACTGTGTTCAGTCAACATGATCCTGACAAATAACTTATTCAATTCTTATGAATATTACACCCAACATACTTGACATTACTGATTAATCTCTCTCGTATATATACCTGCTTAATAAAAGGTGGGGGGGTCAAGGTCATTCATGAGAGAGAGAGAGAGAGTCAATAATGAATAACTACATACCACTCTAAATTCATAACAAGAAATCAATCTATTGGTAACAGGTGAAGTGTACCTGGCCTACCTGCCTTACCTGCACGGGACGCCTCACCTCACCATCCCGTGACTCTACCTGTGTTGTCTTTCTGCTTGGGTCGCGACCTTGTGCCCTGACTTTTATTAGTACCGTGACCTTACCTGTGGGTCGCCAACTTACCTCTGGGTCTGAAGTGTGTGGTGGCGACGTCACTGTGTCGTCGCAGGTGTAGCGTTCTCTGCGGCAGGTGGCTTCTCAACAGCCAGATGTCCTCCTTCTTCTTCTTCCTCAGGGTGTCAACTCGCTTCTCTTGGGGCTTCTGGTCCAGTTTGGGTCTCCTGGGGGAGTGTTCCATCGCGTCCATCAGGCCGCCCACGTGCTGCGTCGCCAGGCCGTGCAGCGTTGTGGCGGGGGTGGGCAGGGGCGAGGACGGGCGCGGGGACGTGGACAGAATAGGTGAAGCGGAGGGCAGGGTGCTGGTGTAAAGAACTGAAGGCGCGTGGGTGGTGGGAGGCGGCAAGGTGGAGGAGGGTAGGAGCCAGTTGGAAGAGCGCGAGAGACTGGTGGATAATCCTGGCGTATGGGCAAAGGGTACGTGTGTCTGGGTGGAAGACAAGAGGGTGTGGGTGGAAGGTGGAGGTGAGTGTGTGGAGGGCAAGTGTGTGTGTGAGAGAGGGGAGGGGTTGTGGATGGCGGACAGCAGTGCGGCGGAAGAGGAAGGTTGGAGGGCTAAGGCAACGTTGTCTAATTCTCGGTGACTACAAGGCAAAGCGGAAGTTACTTGGCAGATATCTGCCACAGTCACTGGTGGGATCGCAGTCTCTACACTCGCCCCTCCCGCGTTATCTATAAAGGTTTGGTCAGGGGGGAGGCAGGCCTCGTAGGAGAGCTGCCACTGGTCCAGTAGTCTCTTGCTCAGCATCACGTAACCACCTGAGTTATGGAAGGCCACGTTCTCGTAGTCTGGGCCAGTTTCTACCTCGGCCAGCTCCTCGACGGAGCTCGAGTCACTGACTTTAGTGTTGAGTGTGGTGGAGAAGCAGGTGCCGCCCCCGGTACTGATGCACGGCGTCGAGAAGTGTAAACCACTGTCTCTAGTCTGCCTCCTGCCGGGGGGTGGCGACTGTGGTAAGATCTTTTTGGTCCACCGCTGCTTATCGGCATTTTGGGCGGCACTGAGGTGGAGGACTGACCCACCCAGAGAGGGCGGCGGCTGCCTGGCCGTCCGCACCGCCAGATCCTTCACGTACAGCTCCAGGGACCTGGTCCTGCTGAGGGAGCCATCATCGTCAGCATTCAGGTGTCCGTGTGAGGCACTCAGCTTCTGTAGGACCCGCAGGTTCCTCACTAACACGCCAGATTCATCCTCCTCCGCCGAGGCAGTGCCTTTATCAGCTGCCTTGGTAGGAGTACTGCTGGAGGAGGCGAGGGTGGCGTCGCTGCCCAGGTTGAGCATGTGTCGTGTTAAGGGGTGGTGTAGCAGGTTCTCGCGGATGACGGGCGTGCACATCCGCTCCGGGGGGCTGAGGGGAGGCACTTCACCCAAAGGTGAACACAAGTCCTCGATAATTGGCTGAGGTAGATCCTCCAGAGGGAAGGTGCCATCACTCCCCGGCGAGTCTTCAGCACCAGGTTTAGCCTCAGCTTTTTGTTGGGGTGTTGCGTCTCCTTCAGAAGGCGCCGGTGGGGGAAGTATTCTTGTGACGACCCCGGGCATGCGGCCTCGCATCCTGGTTTCTCCAGCAGCGTCACAGTGACACGTGCGCGTCTCGTTCTCCTTGTTGTGGGCGTGGTGTCCCCGGACGGCGGTGAGGGCGGCCACACCACTCACCACCTTGTGTCGCAGGTGGCACAACTTATCCTTGACGCGACGGGCCGGGGAGGAGGGCTGTGAGGAGGAGTCTTCTGTCCCTCCACCCTTGTCGCCTCCCTCACTCTCCTCCTCCTCATCCTCACTCTTCGTCCCTCTGTCCTTCTCGTTGCTCTTGCCTTTCTTGTCCTTCCCGCGAGTCTTGAGAAGCCGCTGATTCTCCACGATCTTGGCTGGGGAGTCTGAGAGCCGCACGAAGTCGCCGTGGTCGGTGCTGATGGCCGTGCTGCCAGGGTAGTTGAGCAGCACGGCGTGTACCAGCCTCCCCTTGGACGACCTCCTCGACTGCTGCTCCTGTGGCTGCTGCTGGAGGTGTGGTGGGCACGTGCACTTGGGTTCCTTGGTGGGCGGGGGTGTGGTGGAGGTGGGGGGTGTGGTGGAGGTGGGGCACGTGCACCGTAGGTCCCTGGCAGACCGAGCCCGGCGTGTTGACGTCAGCTTTCTGGAGATGTCAGGGTCTGGACACGTGCAGCGAGGGTGACGAGGCGGGGGGGAGGCGGTGGCGGGGGTAGAGGGGGGCGAAGGGGACGTGCCGCTCCAAGGGCTGGCATCACGGCTACCAGTAGGGCTAGGGCACGTACATCGAGGGTCCCGAGAGGCACGAACCCTCCGTGCCGCTAAAGCTTTCCGTGCTTGCCGCAGAGACTCAGGGGACGGGCAGGTGCATCTGGGGTGACGCGCGCGGCCGGGAGGAGAAGGTACACACACCCCCTCCACGCCCTCCAGCCTCAGCCAGGAACAGTCTGAGGACTGTCCCGAGGACGAGTAGGTGGAGGAGGAGTAGTTAGAGGAGGAGTAAGATCCAGGCGGCGCGGGCGGGAGGAGCGTGGAGTAGAACTGAGGGTAGTAGGAGGGATGGGTGGCGTAGAGCCCCCCGTCCTCCACGCTCTGCACGCCCCCGGCCACCATTCTCGGGTCGCTCACCACGCCGGCCCCACGCCCCCGTCACGCTCCTGCCGCCTCACACGCCTCGGGTGGGGGAGGAGAGCCGCGGGGCCGCCCATGCTTCACGTAGCCATGGCGTGATGATGATGGTGACCCTCAATAATGGCGCCGTGCACATTAGTCGACCCAACACCAGCAGGAGTTCATCATATCATAACGCTACACACACACTGTCACCATCAACACTTGTACCTCATATCACAATGTTCTCTTTTTATCTTCCTGAAACACAAATACCTGTTAGGGCATCAATATCACCAAGACAACCCTTCCCTCACGACCTGTCTGCACCCACAACATCACGTAGGATCTTGTGCCAAACTTTACTTACTGTTCTGGTGATCGAGATGATAATATTTTTCGTAATAAAGAAGATATTTAAGGACACACTCTCTCTCTTTTTACGTATTTGGGACGACGCTCACATGGACTCACCGGAAGTATGGACTGACAACGAACCACCGGAAGTATGGACTCACAACGAACCACCGGAAGTATGGACTCACAACGAACCACCGGAAGTATGGACTCACAACGAACCACCGGAAGTATGGACTCACAACGAACCACCGGAAGTATGGACACACAACGAACCACCGGAAGAATGGACTCACAACGAACCACCGGAAGTATGGACACACAACGAACCACCGGAAGTATGGACACACAACGAACCACCGGAAGTATGGACTCACAACGAACCACCGGAAGTATGGACTCAGATGGACTCACTTAAGGTAAGATCATCCTTAAACTCACCTTACCTGGCATATGCTATGGTTAAGGTGTGATAATTTAATTAATACTTAAATGATACCTGTGATGTTTTCCTTTCATTTACAGGTGTGTCAATCATTTAGCTCTCCTCCCTCCCTCTCTCCCCCTTCCTTCCTTCCTTTCTTCCCTCCCTTCCTTCTTTCCGTTTTTCCTTTGTTCCCTCCTCCCCTTCCTTTCTTCCCTTTGCCCCCCTTACTTCCACCATTCCCTCCAACCACCCTCCCTCATTCCATCTCACTCCTCCCCCACTCCCTCTACCTCACTCTCCCACTCCCCCCACCTCACTCCCCCACTCCCTCCACCTCACTCTCCCACTCCCTCCACCTCACCCTCCATCCTACCCTCCCCACTCCGCCCATCGCCCCAGCACGGGGAGACGTGCTTGACTGAGCTGTTTGTCTGTGCATGATGTCTGACTGTATTTAGGGAGGAGAGGGGAGGAAGACGGGGGGGCGGAAGACACCTAATAAGTCGCCAAGTCCTGACGAGATATTTGCCAGAGTATTAAAGCAATGTAAGGAAGAGCTTAGTATGCCCTTAGCAAAGTTGTTTAACATGTCCTTAAAAACAGGTGTAGTACCAGAATCCTGGAGGATAGCGAATGTAATAAAGATTTTCAAGAAGGGGGATAGATTACTATCCTCTAACTACCGTCCAATCAGTCTAACATCAATTGTAGGCAAATTACGGGAAGCAATCATTTCAAACTTTCGAAATCACCTGGAGAAGCACAAGTTGATTAATGATTCCCAGCATGGCTTCACAAGCGGGCGTTCATGTCTAACTAATCTATTAACATTCTTTTCATCAGTTTTCGAATCAGTGGACGAGGGGCACAATTATGATGTGGTATATCTCGACTTTAGTAAAGCCTTCGACAGAGTCCCCCACGAAAGACTAATAAGAAAAGTAGAGGCTCATGGCATTAAAAGGAGATATTCTAAAATGGATTATGGCGTGGTTACAGGACAGGAAACAGGGAGTGAGCATTAACGGTACTAAATCCCATTGGATCAACGTCACAAGTGGAGTTCCCCAAGGCTCAGTACTTGGACCATTATTATTTATTATATACATAAACGACATAGATATCGGCATAGACAGCAACATAAGCAAATTTGCTGATGACACTAAAATAGGACGTGTAATTAAATCTGACGAGGACTCCGCAAAACTACAGGAAGATCTAAAAATAAAATTCGAATGGTCTGAAAAATGGCAAATGAAATTCAATGTGGACAAATGTAAAGTACTCAGTATAGGAGATGTAAACAGGGAAACCAGATACCAGATGAACAACGATGCCATAGAGGAATCCGACTGCGAGAGAGATTTAGGAGTAATGATAAGTAGGAACCTTAAGCCAAGTAAACAATGTGTTTTTGCTCGTAACAAGGCTAATAAAGTACTTGGGTTCATACAAAGGAGTGTTAGTTACAAGACTAGCGAGGTCATCCTAAAACTGTATCTTGCTCTTGTGAGACCTCACTTGGATTGAGCAGTTCAATTCTGGTCACCGTATTACAGAATGGATATAGAATCCTTGGAAAGAATTCAGAGGAGAATGACAAGACTAATTCCGGGCATTAGGAACCTTGAGTACAGAGACAGGTTAAAGCATCTTAATTTGCACTCCCTCGAGAGACGTAGAGTGAGGGGCGATATGATAGAGGTGTATAAATGGAAGTCACGGTTAAACAAAGGGGACATTACAAAGGTACTCAAACTATCCAACCAGGAACGAACTCGTAACAATGGTTTTAAATTAGACAAATCTAGATTTTCGCGCGAAATAGGTAAACATTGGTTTGGAAATAGAGTAGTGGACGAGTGTAACAAGTTACCAAATATAATCATTAAATCGAATACGCTGAATAGCTTCAAACATAGGTTGGGTGGATATATGAGCAATTGGGGTTGGGTGTAAATGGGACTGCCCAGTAAGGGTCAATAGGCCCGCTGCAGTTTCCTCCATTCTTATGACGGGGGAGATGAAGCTATCCTCTCTCTCTTTGTCTGGCCACGCTCACTCCCTCTCATTACACTCCCTATTCTCTCCCTCGCTTCCTCCCATCCATCTTCCTCCCTCCTACACGCCCTCCCTGTTGGACTCACTTCCCGCGCCGGTGACCCCCCAGGAATGGCTTGGCTTGGCGTGGCGTGGCGTGGCATGGTGTGGTGTGGCGTGGTGTAGCGTGGCATGGTGTGGTGTGGCATGGCGTGGCATGGCGTGGTATGGCGTGGCGTGGCGTGGCGTGGCGTGGCGTGGCATGGCGTGGCGTGGCGTGGCGTGGAGTGGCATGGTGTGGCGTGGCGTGGCGTGGTGGGGTCTACACTAGAATTAATTAATACATAGCCTCACATCCATGTAATAGCCGCCATCACTTAAACAACTGTCATCAATAGGTAACGACCCTGACTGCTGTTGTTATTGGTGATTACTGTTTATTTTGCTGTTGTATATAACTGTTGTTGTTAGGGACAGCTCACGTATCTTCACTTTACCTCATCTATTTATATTCATTACTTAACAACTTCGATTATCTTTTAAAAAAAAATCAAAATACAAAACAGTAATAATTAGTTGTCGTTTTTGTTTCAAATTTGTTGGGTAATGAGTCACATGGAGGGGTGGGCGGAGGAGTGGCGGTATGGGTGGGCGGGCGGGTGGGCGGCGGGTGGGCGGAGGGGTGGGCAGAAGGGGAAACGCAGTGATTGCATTAAGCAGGCGGGCAGGAAAGAATGACAGGACGCAAGGGAGAGGCGAGAGGAAGGAAGGGAGAGGCGAGAGGAAGGAAGGGAGAGGCGAGAGGGGAGAGAAGAATGAAGGGAGAGGCGAAAGGGGGTGAGAGGAAGGAAGGGAGAAGTGAGAGATATAAGGGAAAAGGGGGGGACAAGAGAACGAATCAACAACAGTGGTCAATAGGGAGAGGAGGAGGACTTGCTTATTTTGCTGCGTACTAACTGTTACTAGGACCCGACTACCTGTTGAAAGGACCCGACTACCTGTTGAAAGGACCCGACTACCTGTTGAAAGGACCCGACTACCTGTTGAAAGGACCCGACTACACATGTTGCTAGAGGGGCGTCAAAATACACACACACACACTCCAACTAACTCGGAACACAACATAACTTGCTTCAGAAACCGAGGTGAAGGAGAACAGATGGGACTTGAACCGTACATCCTTCACCCAACCTCCTTCACCCACCCTCCTTCACCCAACCTCCTTCACCCACCCTCCTTCACCCAACCTCCTTCACCCACCCTCCTTCACCCACCCTCCTTCACCCACCCTCCTTCACCCACCCTCCTTCACCGAACCTCCTTCACCCACCCTCCTTCACCCACAATAGACTGAAACAAAAAGTCCCTGATTCTGAAATGGATTACAGGTACATTACTACAGCTTATTATTGAAGCACCTGCACGAGTTAGAATGATTAATATAACAATACAGGTAGATACAGGTGCAGAGGTACGATTACAGGTACAGTTTATTATTTACTCTCAGCCCCGGGATATAAATTACAGGTAGAGTTCTTCCCTCACCTCTCCATCCATTCCCTCACCTCTCCACCCATTCCCTCACCTCTCAACCATTCCTCACCTCTCCAACCATTCCCTCACCTCTACATCCATTCCCTCACCCTCCAACCATTCCCTCACCTCTCCAACCATTCCCCACCTCTCCACCCATTCCCTCACCTTCCAACCATTCCCTCACCTCTCACCATTCCTTCCCCTCCATCCATTCCTCACCTCTCCACCCATTCCTTCACCTCTCCAGCCATTCCCTCACCTCTCCATCCATTCCCCTCACCTCTCACCCATTCCCCCACCTCTCCATCCATTCCCTCACCTTCCATCCAATCCCTCACCTTTCCATCCATTCCTCACCTCTCCACCCACATTCCCTCACCTCTCCACCCATTCCCTCACCTCTCCACCCATTCCCTCACCTCTCCACCCATTCCCTCACCTCTCCACCCATTCCCTCCACCTCTCCACCCATTCCCTCACCTCTCCATCCATTCCTCACCTCTCCATCCATTCCCTCGCCTCTCCACCCATTCCTCCTTCCTCCATCCATTCCCTCACCTCTCCACCCATTCCCTCACCTCTCCACCCATTCCCCTCCACCTCTCCACCCATTCCCTCACCTCTCCACCATTCCCTCACCTCT